ACATATTCGTAGCGAGATAGTCAGCATGGGTAAGTTTTATTTTCAATATTTGTGTATTTTTTACGTGGTATTTTAATTGTGGTTTAACACAATATATTATGGAACAGGATACGAACTACGTCGACCAAATTTTGACAAGAGATTGGAGAATTTGAAGGTATTTTACGATGATCAGCGTGTTTGGAAGTGGGCTTCAAAAATACCGCGGGAAAAATGGTCACAAGCATACGATGAAGGTCGGAGATACGGACATATGACCACAAACCTTGTTGAGGCCATTAATTCGGTACTAAAAGGTACACGCCATCTCCCAATAGCGAGTGTGGTGAAAGAGACGTACTTTAGACTAGGTAAAGTTTGGTCGGACAAAGGCAAGGTAATTGAGAGTCTCATAAATAGAGGTAAAACTTGGGCTCCTACAGTGGTGGAATCAATGGAAGCAAAAGAACGATTGGCAACATCAATGGTTGTTCATAATTTCGACCGAGTTGGTCATACTTTTGTCGTGTAGTGCATACGTCGTAACGTCGGAGGAGAAGACCAAACATTTAGAGTTGATTTACGACACAAATGGTGTGATTGTGGTCGTTTTCAGGCATGGAAATATCCATGTGCTCATGCAGTCGCTGCATGTATGTATGCTGGTGTAAGCGCATACACTTATGTTGATGAATGCTTCCACCTACGTAGGATATTAAATGTCTACAGCTATGTGTTCAGACAGATCCCGAATGAATCATATTGGCCTAAAAAGGATCATGATGAATGGCTACCAAATCCAATGCTTCGCAGAAGTCCAAAGGGTCGACCTGAGTCCACTCGAATTCATACCAGTATGGATTTTCATGCTAAAGAGAGAGGTCAAGCAAAGAGATGCGGATTATGTAGGGGTGAAGGCCATTCAAAAAACAATTGTCCTAATTTACCAAGATATAGGCCTCATCATTAGTAATCATATATGTATTTCTATGTATTTATTAATCATTATAAAAATGATTTAATAATGATTTAAATATTTAATGATTTGATGATTTAGTAATGATTTGATAATAATCATTATAGTAATGATTTGATAATAATCATTATAATAATGATTTAGTAATAATCATTATAAAAATGATTTAATAATGATTTAAATATTTAATGATTTGATGATTTAGTAATGATTTGATAATAATCATTATAATAATGATTTTATAATAATTATTTAGTTATTATTTAGTAATTATTTATAATAATGATTTAATACTAATGATTTAATAATTATTACTAATAATTATAGAATACTAACAAATGAGTGTACAAGTGTGGATTACTGAGTTTAAATTTATACATAGTCGAATTTATTAATGATTTTTAAATATTTAATTTGATACTAATGATTTACTAATTATTATTAATAAGGATTTATTGTTAATATTTAATTATTTGATACTAATGATTTAAAATAGTTGATTTACTAAATATTTAATTATTTGATACTAGTAATGATTTGATACTAAAAATCATTGTTAAGGTTAAAAAAAGTAGTCTAATTTCAATAAATAATTTGTAATAAATAGCAAACGAGTTTACAATTGTTGTCGATGTCGGGGTGTTGTTGAATGATAATGTCGGGGCGGACGTCTGATACGTTGTGGCCGTTGTGGCTCAGGAGTATTGTACCCATCCCCCTCATTCATTGGGGGTATTTGAACTGTCATGTGTTCAAAGTCATACGTCGACGAAAACGTAGGAGAATAGATGGGTGCCTCAGGCTGCACAAACTCTGGTATGTATGCCGGGCCAGTAGAATCATCAACTGCGTGATGCAACGATTGTGGTGCGCTATTATCCACATCGGTCATTTCCGCTTCAGTTTGTAGAGATGAACTCCCACTCCCACTCGGTAGAGAGTATTCAGCTTTACCAAATCTTTTCTTAAACCTCAAAAATTGTCGCCTCTCTACTATTGTTGTGAGGAACGGCTTTCCATTATCCAAAAAATAAGCAAGGTAAGCCGAAGTCTCAAAATTAAAGTCGTCATCTTGAATGGCGTCAAGAGTTGGCATGAATGAAGCCCTATTGTTCCAAGCATTAATGTAGGTTGCATGCTTCTCAACCCAATTAACGCTTTCTTTACGACGACCATCAAATCTGTGCAGGTCGTCATGCGTCTCAACCCAATTCACTGGACGACGACCATCTAAGTTTTGGAGGAGGTCATGATCCCATGGACTCCGCGGAATAGGTTGGTGGAAGTGGAATTGCCGCAGCACTCTATCCCCAAATTGGATCTCAACAAAAGCAAAATTGATCAATGGTGTAACAGCACACCAATATTGAAACCCATCTAAAATATCGTGCGGTATCAACGCAAATAATTCTTCATTCATGTATGGTCTCCAATTAAACTGTAAAATTACAAAAACAATAAAATTTATTTAAATCAGATAATATAGTTAATTTAAATAATAATTAAAAAATACAAATTATGCATACCTCCTTTTTGGCCTTAATGTCGATCTTCAACCTGAACTCTTTAATGTTGTTGTGCACCAACCCTGTGCCTTCAATTTTATGCCTCCATCTGTATATCAATCAAAACAAAAATAGAGACATTTTGTTCAATAATTTTAATCAAAATAAATATTTTTTAATTAATATTTTATATTAAAATAGAGGATTCATATTACCTTCCGGCAAGTGGAAAGTCAACCGCAGTCCGACTAATCGGTGTCAAAAACGGAAGTCTATGCCAAGCCCATGATTGTAGCAGCAACAGACATCCACCGATTTCTACTGTATTATTATCATTCACGACTAATGACGCCTTGCACATCTCACGATACAAGAACGCCAATATCGCCGAACCCCAGCTATATTGCCTACAATTCTCAAAATTTGTTAAAAAAAGAAGATACTGAGTGTGAACATAACTACCGGATTTATCAGGCATCAAAATTCCCCCAATCAATTGTAATATATATGCTCGTGTTGCATATATAATTTCGTGCTCTGTACTATTTGATTGAAGTTGAAATTCATTCTTCAACCATGACAACCTCACCCGCCACCCTTTACACTCTGGTGGTACGGGCGCTTTCCCAAGAAACAAGTTGCAAAGTTGTTCCACCTTATTAAACTCATGTGACATTACCACCGGCATCCCATTAGTTTGGACCCCGAGTTGCATTGCCACATCCTCCAAAGTTATCGTGCATTCGCCACACGGCAAATGAAACGTGTGCGTTTCTGGTCTCCAACGTTCAATCAACGCACTGATCAAACCTGGGACCAACTTGTAATCTCGCACAAATGTGATATACCAAAATCCAACCTCTTGCAAATTTTCTTCTATTAGTGGGTGTGGCTTGGGCACTTTATGTAGTCGAAGACGAAGGACTCGCTGCTCGTCCTCCTACAATTAAATATTTCAAAAAAATTATCACAATCATAAAATAATATTCAAATATTTATTAATTATAATTCATTAAACAAATATTTTATTCACCATTATTCCCAAATGACTTGAAATATGTTCATTGTCAAGCCTCAACAGTGGAATTTGGTCAGCCATTGGAATGAATCTGTAAAAAAATTAAACAACAATATTTAAAAATCATTTAATATAATCTAATATAAACTAACTAACTAATTTACAACACTAAACTTTAATATAATAACTTATAATATAATAAACTAATAAACTAACAAACTAAACTTTTTAAAATATAAGTTAAACGTAAACACTAAACCCTTAAACAACTAATAAAATATTCTTCTATATAACTAAAACTAACTAATAAACTATTTTTTCATTATAATATACTACTAATAAACTTACTAACTAATTTTTTATATATAAATTCAACAAACAAATATAACTTAACTATTTAACTAACACAAACTAATTAAATAATTTTTTATATAACTAACTATTAACAAAACAAACTAATTAATTATTTTTTAACTATATAACTATCAAACATATACTAATTAATTAAATAATTTTTTAATTTATGTATACTATAACTTAAACTAACAATCATATAACCCTAAACTAACAAACTAATTAGCTGCTTTTTGTTTTACCCTAAACCCTAAACTAACAAATTAAACATTTATAATAATAAACTAATTTAAATATAAAAAAATTTACCTTATCTCCCTTTCTTCTTCTTACTTTCCTTTCTCCCTTTCTTTCTTTCCTTTCTCCCTTTCTTTCTTTCTCGGCTGCAATCTCTTCTAACTTTCTTCTGCAATCTCTTCTCCCTTTCTTTCTTTCTTTTATAACCGGCTGCCTCAATTATTTCACCAACCGGCTGCCTCAATTATTTCACCAATAATTGTACAATTGCAGCTATGATATTTCACGCAGCAATGGTTCAATTATTGTACCAATTATTTCACATGCATTGGCTCAAATGGTTCACATGGTTTCATTGGGAGCTGTAGGCATGCAGCATGCAGCGGGGAGCACGTGAAGGAATCTATGTGGCTGTGCATGGATGATGGGAATGGCGCCGGGACTACATGGCGACCTACAAGGTCGCCGGGACTACATGGCGACCTACAAGGTCGCCTAGGCTGCATGGCGACCTCTCTATTCCTCGTATAGGACTGCATGGCGACCTCGCATGGCGACCTCTCCCCATTGGCTCGTATGGCTCGTATGTCACCCCGTATGTCACCCCCCGTATTCACCCCGTATGTCGCCTGGATTGCATGGCGTCCTACAAGATCGCCTGGATTGCATGGCGTCCTATGATCACTGTAGAATTCACCCCATTCCAAGAATTAATCTGGAATGTGCACTATATCGTGAAAAAAAAATTCGAGAACATTATCTCGTGAATTCACCCCCATGAAAATATATATATTAACTTTAAAATATTATTTATTACTCATAAGAAAAACAGAGGAACAGAGTTTACCCATCAGGGGAACTAAAGACGCATACATTAAGCTGAAGGAAAAGAAGCTATAACTTTTTCTCAGGAAACAAACAGATGTGTATCATCTCTATGATAATGTGATTAAACCCCAGAAAACCAAATAACCTCTGATCTTTCAAGCTCTAAGCGTGTCAATGAAACGCTTCCCATCTACAATATCATCACTTGCAAGGAAATCCAGGAAATCCCTGAAGCTACTTTCTCTATATCTCTGGGGATTTTGTTCATCCACAAGTTCTTCAGCTGCTTCCATTTTATCATCCATTCCCAAGCTATGTAAACTTGCAATGGAAATCCTAGTGCTTTCACTGTTCAATGTAGCCCTATGGACCGCACTCTTGTATATCCCATTACTCAGCACTTCGAAATGGTCACCTACATGGACCTGTAACGTCCTGCGAATCTCTGGGATGACAATCCAGTTGCCGCCGTCCTCGGTGTCCAAGAATTCGAGGCCAGTTGAGTTTTGGAGGATGATGGTTAAGCATGAGTAATCCGAATGTGGCGGCAATCCGAGCGCCGTGTTCGGTTCGGGGCACGGAGGGTAACAGTTTACTGCAACCACTTGCATTCCATGTTCAAGTTTTTGGCTTAGGTGATTTGGGCTTATTGCAAGGCTCTCTATCATTGTTCCCATCAGTTCCAAGGCTAGTTTCCTTACCTCTGCACAATATTTCCCCATCTTTTCTCTTAAGACATTAGGCAACATTAGGCATTATGAGTTCGAGATGACATAGTATAGTGTAGTGTTGGATCTCAGGATTTAGTCTTTATACTTTAATTTGACATAATTTGACCCCAAGTGTTACCTGTAGTGCGGCGGGTTATCAGGCCATGAATCGATCCAGGCGTCCAAGGGATGTGCATAATGCTTGAGGAAAATCCTCCAAAACTGGACCTTGTCAACCCCGTCTTTCAAGCTCGTCGAGTACCGTACAGGCTTATAAACATCGCTCGACTTGAACTTAAGCTTCTCTCTGGCCGGCAGATCGAAGAAACCCACCGCCGCCGCGAGCGCTTCGTCAAGAATCGATTGGCAAATACCATGGTTCACAACCTGATGCAAACATCAACATATATTCTTGTTTTGACACAACACTAAGAAAGAAAAAGAAAAGACAAGATGCATTGCACTCACTTGAAAGAACCCCCCGCGGCGACAAGCCTCACCTAGCTCCTTGATGGCGACGGAGCGTTCCTCGCCATTCCGTCTCAGTCGAGACATATCGACAGTCGTAACTCGAGCTCCGTCGAGGTCCGAGCTCGATGTTTTCGAAGGCGAAACAACATAACATTCCGGAACATGATCAAAACCCAGCTCTTGCGCAGTGTTCCCAGTTGTAAATGATCCCTCAACCCCCGACATTCTGTTTGGATTCCAAGAAAACTCAAGAAAAAGAAGAAAACATGGTGTGTATGCTAAAGCCATTGGAATTTATACAGGGGGAGATTCAGGTAATCTATGACGGTTAAGGATTGTACCAGAGAACGTGAATCATAATCCATAAATGCTTTGAACGAAGATGATTGAAGAACAGAACATTCCAAAAGAAAAGTTTATGGTATTAATTGAAGGCACTTCAGGATATAAACTGTGGGTGATGATGGTAATGTTTTTGACCTCCATGTTTATCCAGGTTAAATGAGAAGCTAGAAGACAACAAGGCACATTACCGCTAAATGTTGACAATTGCTGGCTTCTGGTTGAATGTTTTTGCCCGAAAGACCGCGTTCGGTTTGCATTGAAACTGTTCCCTTCACCTACGCCCTATATGACGATTTCAAGTGCTTTTTGGAGTGCTTTATTAGTAATAAAAATGCCAATATATATATATATATACATGTATATTTAAATAATTCAATATATATTTGTCAAACATTACATATGTGATACTTATATTTATTATATATATAAATTAATGTCGTCAAATATATCTATATATATTAAAATTATTTTATGGTGTATATTTTTATATATGTATTTTTATAAGATAATATATATTCGAAATATTCTCAATCATTTGAAGATAAACAATAAAACATCCTGCAAGCCTAATGCTTAAGCTTGTGAATTAACAATCATCCCTTAATAGTTGAGGTGATTTGTTCATGCAATCAATATGAATGTTTAAAAGTATAATATGACATAATTTTTTTAATTTAAAATTTATTTACATATTGTTTTAAAGTATAGGATAAACTATATAATTAGTCATCCAACTTCAACTTCAAATGTATTACGGGATGGTCATGGTCAAGTCAAGTTTTATTTTTTGTTCATTTGAATTTGAATTAAAAATTTAATTCCTTTACTTATATTCAATTTAACATGAGTTTAAGAGGGCTTCATTCGACCTAAAATCCAATTAAATTTTTTAGGTCTAGTTTTAGTTTTCATGCATTTGATCTAACTTAAGTTTAAGATAATCTCATTCAACTCAAATTTGGACTCGATTTTTCAAGTAAAAACTAGAACTTGACCCGATTATATATATTATTTTTATTAGGTAAAATAAAAAAATAAAAATAATATTATTATAATTATTCCTAAATATATAAAAGATACTATAATATTATCTCGAGTAAAAAATTTTCATTATAAATTTAAATTCGTCCCTACTCAGCCTCATCCCTTTAAAGAAAACTTGACTTAATGTAAATTTGAGCAAAAAAAAAAACCAACTTGATTAGGTTGAATTGAATCGAATCAAAACTTTATGAGTTTAAACAAATACACATTCCTAAGTATATAGACAAATGAGTCATCTTCCGTGGCCTCCAAATACATGAAAGTAGAGAAGCCAAGTTCCAGGCCACAAATTTCATGCTTATGTTAGAGTTTTTGACTTCAAGGTTGAGTACTAATAATAATAAACTTTCAACATTTGTTCAATCCGTTGCCAACCATTAAGTCCATCTAATTTGAATCTTGGAAATACAAAATGGTTCCTACTCTTTTACTTATCACACCATTAAGTTCATTATTTTTTTAAAAAAATTATATGATATATTGATTGTACAAATTTTAATTTATATAAATTTATTTATTTTAATAAAATTTTGTTTTATTTAGAATTTATAGTTCAAGATGATGGTTTTAGATTTTACGGTTTATGATTAAAATAGTCATGTTGCGTAGAATAAATTATACACATTGTATATCAAATAAAAATTATACTCTTACTATCAACTAATTTTATATATATATAGGGCTTATCTATAAATGTTAGGCAACTAATTTTTAATATATATATGGTTTATTTATAAATTTTAGACATAATGCAACAAAATACCCTAACGTTTGACAATATTGTCAATTTTGTTTATATTCTTTTTATGGAATATTTTACCCAACAACGTTTCGTCTTGGGTTAAAAGACGCCTTCGTTGGATGAAAACTGTTAGTCAACTAATGGTCAACTCCTGGTGCTGACTCAAGCAAGAACACATAAAGGGAGATGTTGATGTGGCGTGTCCAGGTCATGATAAATAATGACGTGGCACTACCACATCAAAATTTTTAAAAATAAAAAATATTATTATTAATGTTTATATTAAATTATTTATTACCACTCTCCAATTGGTGTTGATTTAAAAAATTATTAAAACATATTTTGCATGAAAGAAGACTCAAGCTTTGGGAAATAGTATGAAACGTCATGCCTTTTGCCACCAGACAAAACTACTTGGTTATATTATGAAAAAACACTATTTAATATATAAAATCTCAAATATGAGATACCAGATTATTCCCAAAATCTCAAATAACGAGATAAGGATCGCAAAGAAGAAGACGAATCAGAATTCTGACGGTCATATCTTCATAAAAGTTGATTTGAGAATTTACCCCCGGTAGGTATATGCTTAACGCAAACCCTAAGAATGGGGCAAGAATGGTGGCGTGACGATGGATAATGAATATGATGAATTATGGAGATGAAAGATGGATAAATATGTCCTACTGAACCCTTCTAGGCACGATGAAAAGGAAAACTTGACAATACGACTCTAACCAGCCTTCCTAATTGCAATGAGAAGACAAACTGGAGTGTGAAGATCTCTCACTCAAAAACTTAGAAAAACTTAAAAGGAAAAAATTCTTCAAAGACACAACGCAATCAACTCTTGCAAAAACGCACTCAATGTTATATTATTATTCAAAGAAAAAGATGTGTTTACAATGAAGGGAAGGAGCCTCCTTATATAGGTTTGGAGGAATCCATGTAGTAACATGACTAACTAATAAAATACTAATAAATTAATGTTTTAACTTGATATTAATGCCTAAAATAATAAATCTAATCCTAAAATATAATTTATCATCATATATTAAATTATATTATAAATAATCAATAAAAATATTAAAAATTTGTAATATTTACAAAATCTCGTATTTATCCCGTATAGGATTTTCTGCATGTGTTCTCTTCACTAAAATGGACATATCTTGAGTTCAAGATATCGAATTGAGGAGATTCAAGAACCATTAGAAAGATAAGAGACATCCAGTTGTAACTCTAGAAGACATGTTGACCAAATAACATCAAGATCCCATTCAAAAAGCAGTTGTAAGTTTGCTACTCTGTTGTTCTTCTTTTCCAATGCTTTGTCGTGTGGATCACTTAGAAGCGTTAGTCCATCTTCTTTTGATGTGAGACTTGTAATGAATGTATCACTTTTAGAGTAAATATTTTGTTTCTATTTGGGTTTCTAGTAACGAACATTGTTGAAAGCATGTTGAAATCCATATTTTGGTGTATGTAGGATAAAAAAAATAGTTTATAATGGTGGTGGGGAATGCATTTTATTTGTTTGTATGTTTTGTGTTTAGTATAAATTCTCTAATGGACATGTTTGATTCTCCAACCATGTTTAGTTCTTTTCAATGAGATTTCGTGTATGATGGAGAACACAAAAAGTGTTATTGCAATAAATTAGCTCCTAGAGAAACTTCATGGAGCGATTTAAACCCTAGAAGAAAGTATTATGGTTGCTCAAATTTTTCGGTAATAAAATTTTGATACTTTATCATTTTAGTTGGCTTGTAATAAAACTGCATACATCGATTGATAATGGAATTTTTTTTCTCCTTATTGTAGCATGGTTATAGGTATTTTGAATGGTATGATAGTAGCATGTCAGAGCGAGCAAATTACTAACTGCGACAATTACTTGATAGTGAACGAAATTTAGCAAAGGAGAATACAAGACTTAAAAGACAAATTATAAGTTGTGGAGCTACTTCTACTGATCAAATCAATAGTGTGTTATTGAAAGAGAATGAAAGTGTGCAAAGCGAAGTCATGAGAATGAATTAAAGATAAAGATTAAGAGCTTGAAGGAAAAAAATTAAAGCATTGAAGAAAGAAAAAGATTTTTATAAGACAATATTCATTTTCTATATGTTATGTGTCATATGTATCTTTGTGGTAATAATACTTGCAATAGCAATTTAGGGTTTAGACATAATTAGAATGAAATTTGCTTATGTATGTCTATTATTCAGTATTCAAATTTAATTATTAAGTGTTTGTGTTAAAGATTAAGTGTTTGACTATTACTTATTAAGAATGAATTATTAAGTTTAGTTATTTCTATACGCTAAAGTTTTTGTTAATACTCCAGTTAAATAGGGTTCTAACAACAACAATTTAGATACATGAAGTGATGAGAATTGTATAAAATTTATGTACATTATCTGTTATAAAATAATAAAAATTTTAATAATTTGTTTGATATCCAAAATAACATATTGATATTAGATTTATATCCCTTTCTTATCATGTTATTTATATGATTTACTGTAAGTGTCTAAAATAACAAGTGGAAGAACATAGTCAATTTCATATTTCTTCCAATCTTGAGGCCCATTAATAAGTTGCAAAGCATATTTATATGTTTTACAGTAAGTGTCTTTGTGATAATAAGAATGCAAATACTCATATGGGTCCTCACTAGTATGCCATATTGCTCAACAAGCATGAAGACAAAGAATATCACATATTTGTCACCTTCTAAATGTACATGTTATTTCATTTAAGTCCACAATGTGCTGCTTCTTCCGTTCTTAACCTTACATCCATTATCTCCATTTTAAACCATTCTCCATTCAATGCTATCATTCTTCATGATGTCAATTTTTTTCTTGACAAGTGGCCCATAATTATACTTCCATATAGTCAAGCATCTTCGTTTGTCAACTATTCTTTTCATTATATTGACTCTAATCTCCTCAAGCATTATAATAATTCACTTGTATCTTACCTCAACAATGTTCGAATTAAAAGCATCGCATAAAATATTATCCAGTATATCTGACTTGGCAAGCAATTTTTGAAAAGCCTTGGTCCATATTTTCTCTTTTTT